TGGGTCACACTTCTGACCTTGCAGTGCTGAAGAAGGGGCAAGAGGCAGCTGGAGCACAAAAAAGTCACTGGACGAGGGGCCTACAGGGCCTTCTCCATAAGTGCCTTAAGATGGATATGGGTGGTGTTTTCAGTCCTCTCATTAACCACCCCTGCATATCAGGAACCTGTAATGGTCATTGCTGGTATCTCTAGAGAGAAGGGGGTGAGATTTCGGTCACAACAACCCCAGGCAACGCTACAGGCTCAGGGAAGAGTGGCTGGAAAGCTGCCCAGCGGAAAAGGACCTGAGGGTGTTGGTGGACAGTTGGCTGAACAGGAGCCAGCAGTGTGCCCAGGTGGCCAAGAAGGCCAATGGCATCCTGGCCTGTGTCAGGAATAGCGTGCCCAGCAGGAGCAGGGAAGGGATGACGCCTCTGTACTGGTGAGGCCTCATCTCAAGTGCCATGTTCAGTTCTGGGCACTACAAGAAGGACATTGAGTTGCTGGAGCATGTCCAGAGAAGAGCCATCAAGCTGGGGAGGGGTCTGGAGAACAAGTCACACGAGGAGAGGCTGAGGGAACTGGGCATGTTTAGTTTGGAGAAGAGGAGGCTGAGGGGAGACCTCATTGCCCTCTACAACTCCCTGAAAGGAGGGTGGAGAGAGGTGGGGGTTGGCCTCTTCTCCCAAGGGAATGATGACAGGAGCAGAGGAAATGGTCTGAAGTTGGGGCAGGGGACGTTTAGATTAGATATTGGGAAGAATGACTTTCCTGAGAGGGTGGTCAGGCCCTGGAACGGCCTGCCCAGGGAGGTGGTGGAGTCACCATCCCTGGAGGGATTTAAGAAACGTGTAGAGGTGGCACTTCAGGGCATGCTCTGGTGCCCGAGATTGTTGGGTTGTGTCTGTCTGTGGGTGGGTGTGGGGTGTGGTGTGGTCAAAGGTGTTTGTGGGGATTTTTTTGTGTGTGTTGTTTTGGGGTTTTTTTGTGGTTGGGCTCGATGATCTCAAAGGTCCCTTCCAACCATGCGATTCTGTGATACTGTTGCATCTGAGAGTACAGTAGCCCATGGCACATAAAATGGAGATTTCAGGGTTTGTGGGCCAGCAGCAAATGCAGACTGACACATTCATGGGGTGTTGGAGAGAAAGGCAGGAACCGTTCTCCATCTTAACTCTTCCGAATTATCCTACCTGTTTGGGTTTCATTGTTCTTATCCCAAGGACATAATTTTGCCTTCTTCAAGCTGTGACAAGCCTGAGATAAGCTGATGAGTGAGGAACGCTGCTTTCTAGTGTTGGCTAGCCCTCAAAGTGGGGGCGGTAACTTTATGATAGAGTCTCCTGGAACCAGTAGTTGGAGTCACAGTGAGGTGGCAGCCACAGGTGCTGCTGGTGCCAGGTGTGACAAGGGACATTTTGGCATCAGGAAATAGAGCCTAAAGTCTCGACTTCTCTGTCAAGTCTCTTTGTTTCTGCAGGAAGCTCAGAAGTCATGTTTAAACTAATCCTTCCGTGATGAACAGCCTGGTCAGTGGTGTCCGTCCTCGCTGTGGCTCTGGGTTCAGCAGCTCTTGATCCTGCACCTTCAGGGTGATGTTTCTCACTGCAGCCAAACGGCTCTGATGCCACCCGGCCCATTGCTGTATCTGCCTTGTGCTGGATGTCCCCATGACCCAAACCAAGACCCTTCAGCCAGCAGAAAACTTGCGTTGATTAGTTTTGTGTTCCATTAATGAGCTGAAATGATTAACCACAAGTTCAGTTCACAGATCCATTCGAATCGGGAGGGATCTCTGGAGGTTGCAGGACCCGACTCCTTGCCTGAAGCAAGGCCAGCTTTGGAGAGGCGTTGGATTGCTCAGGGCTCGTGTGAGCACCAAAGCTGTGGGGCAGGGACACACTGCGTTCCTCAGCGACAGCAAACTGTTCGTTTTTTAAGTAAGAGTGTCCCACTTGATTTTCTGAAAATTTGGCTCCTCTCAGTGTCTCACCGTGGGGTGAAAACAGTGGACCAAGGAAGAAAAAGGTGGGGATGGCCCCAGCAGAAGCTCGCTGTTGGGCTGGCACCATCACCGGCTGAATAGGACACCGTAAAGGGAAGCTTTGGGCAGTTCGAGGGGCTGTGGGTGATGGTTTGCAGCCACGAGATGACCTGACCTCTGGGCACAGCCATTGCCAACGCCGGGGCTCAGCAGGGAGGTGCCAGCGGGGCTGAGCAGCAACCCCTTGCTTGGAATCATGGAATCATGGAATCCTAGAGTGGTTTGGGTTACAAGGGACCTTAAAGATCAACCAGCTCCAACCCCCTGCCATGGGCAGGGACACCTCTCACTAGCCCAGGTTCTAGACCCACTAGCCCACTGCTGCTTGGCCATGTCCTTGTAACATCAGGGGCTGGAATCCTGAAGGAAAGTAACAGGCACCTGCCCAAATCTTTAGGCTCCTTTAGGAAGCATCCAGTCACTGGGGATGGTTGTAAATGCCACGAGGCAGCAGCGTGGCCAGCCTGGACTCTGGGTGGGATGACTCTGCTCTGAAGTGGTGGGTGTTTCCTCATCACACTAATTGCATGCAGCTCAGCACGTCTGGTAGAGGCATGAGAAATCAATTCGCATGGGCTGGTGTTTTCTCAGATTCTGGTTAAAATCTAACAAAAAACCAGGCAAGTCTGCTGGAAGGTGCTGGATCATGGGATGATAAGACTTTTTTTCATTAAAACACTGTTCAGGTCAGAAAAATGTGCCTCACGTCAGTCTCATTCAAGCAGCCACTGGATAAAATCTTAGTGCGTGTTCAGTGATACATTCACTGTTGTATCCAGCGATGGTGACAGGCACTGAGCTACAGTCGAGGTCACTTTCTGGCAATTAATGCCCTGAGCTGTTGCACATTCAGCTGTACCTTGCCCTGTTTGGTTGAACAGTGCTCTGGGCTGTTCTCTCCCTCGCTGTGGTGGCAGGGACATGCTGTGGGGGGTGGCAGGTCCCGGGGACACTCCTCTGGGGGACTAAACGCCATGAGGGTTCCTGTCGCGAGGGCTGCCCTCCCCGAGGTACGGCCTCTGTTGCCCTGGAACCAACATTCATTCTTTAACCCTGGCAAATTCACCCTGTAGTGTCTTTACAGATGAAGTGGACAGTAGATCTTTCTAGCATTTATTGTACCAAAAAGGTGAAATAATTTTGGTTATAAATCTGTACAGTGAAACCTTACACACCAGGAGTTCCCCTGGCATCAGTTTCCTTTTCCCTGGCACGGGGATATTCCAGGTTCCAGTTCGGGAGCCCAGGGTGCAGTTCAGCAGCTCTGCCCTCTGCACCCCAGCTGCTCTGCACTACCTGCTGGCCTCTGCGTGCTGAACAAGCCCACGTGGCCCTGCCGTGACACTGAGCTGGCAGCTGGGGGTCACCTCCTTCTGCCCCCCCGCCCCTGTCTTTGGCACTGCCAAGGAGACAGAAATGCCCAGAAATGCCCCTGTGGGTGCGGGCGGTGAGTCCCAGTGGCAGTTGGCACCTGGAGGAGTGTGAGAGTCATCTCCCCGTGTGGTTCTGCTGGGAGATAACACCAGTCCTGGCTTCCAGTTGCCTGAAGGAATCCAGGTTTTCTCGGGCCCTGGCCATGCCCGGTCTCCCTGGGGAGGGCACAGGGTACCCCAGAGCCCGTGAACGGAGCCAGACCAGAAGAGCAAAACAGGATCCTCCAGCTCCAGTGGCTTGTTCACATAAGGCCATAACAAGCTGCCACTGATGGGACCTTACACAGATGTCCCCACATCTAGCGGGGGGTGTCAGCAGTGCTTTGGTTAGCAGTGAAGCAGTTCCCAGAGCCCTCAGGTCCCTGCCCCACGCCTGGGACATCTCCTGGCCAGGGTGGCACCTGGCACCACTGACCTGCTCCAGCCCCTGGGAAGCCTGGACCGGGCTGGGTTTGCTGCTCCTGAGCCGTCCTTGTGCCAGGGGAATCAGCCCTTGCTCACAGTAACTGCTCATAAAACCCTCGCTAGAAAAAACCTTAAAAATCCCTTTCTGTACCCACAGTGGTGCCACTGTCAGGGATGTGGGGCTTCTGGTGTCAGTATTTCATTTGCACTGGCTCCTTAGCCAAGATTTACTCCTTAACTGTAAAGTGCCACAATTCAAAAGTGAGGGGTTCTTCCAAATTCTGAACCCCCATGTTGAATACACCGTGAGGTTTCCAGGTCTGAGGAACAAGACATCCTAAAGGTCATGGTTCATTTTTCAAAGTCTAGGAGGATTTGGGGGTTTTTTTGCTTTTTAGCAGAGGTTTAAATCTAAATGAAATATTGCTCTGCTGAGCTGGGCCAGCTCATCTCTAGCCTTTAGCAGGACTTGGAAAAGATGAATGACTGCATTCAGGGGATTTGTGGGCAAATACACCAGAAATTTGTTTTTTCTCATGGAAAGTGTGAGAAGATAAGAAGGAAGGGGCCGTGTACTGGCACTTGGTGTATCTCTGGCAGCACGGGAGAGGAGCAGTGCAGCCCGTCCAACTGAGATGAGCTAGTTCTCAGGGTCGAGAGCAGGCGTAGAGGATGGAGCTGGTACCCTCCACTGCAGCTCCCTGTAATTTAGGGACAGAGCAGATTTAAGCCGAGAGAGGGGATTTCCAGCCCAAGGCTGGCTCGGTGACTGTCAGGCAGGCCTAGGCTGATCCTTGCCCTAGGAATGCTTTCAGTGCTTTTACCTGCTCGCTGGCAGGTCACCACTCGCAGGAGGAAGAGCTGTAGGTGCCAGTTATTTTCAGGAAGGAAGGTATGGCTGAAAGCGTGATCCTTCTGGAGCTCAGCCCATCCAGGCTCAGCCAGTGTCCCACAGCTCAAGAGCTGAGCCAAGGATCAGAGTGTTTGGTTTTTATTCTGGCATGGAGAGCAGGAGCCTCCGTTCAGGGGGCTGTGAGTACTCCAGGTTTTCCCATGTGACTGTTTAAAGATGGAGGCTGCTCTTGTTTTGATTCTCGCCTGATTTAATTATATTTGCTTTTTCTCTTTTTATTTCAGTTGTGATTCCAAAGAGCCCTTTACCTGCCTCCGAAGTAAACTCGGAGAAACCTAGCATGCACAGTAGCACAAAGACTGTTTTGGGGCATCAACAAGGGCAAAGGCGTCGCAAAACAGGGAAGAAGCGTGGTCGAACGACCAAAGCGCTAATCCATCACCCCATGCCTACACCCTCCAAGTCAGTGGAGCCTTTGAAATTCCCCAGAAAGAGAGGCCCCAAGCCTGGCAGTAAGGTAAAAGCTGATGCTGATGCAGGCGGGTGAAAAGCAGGTGCTGCAAGTTCTGCCATGGGATGGTGCATGCGTGTGTTTGTGCACGTTTGTCTCAGCCTCTGGCCGTGTGACTGCAGCAAGTAGGAGACCAAAGGGGTGTGTGGGCTGGGAATATCCCTCAAGAGTCCAGCCCCGGAGCTCTAGAGAATGTCTGTATCCTAAAGATCATTTCCATCAAGAAACTGTGTCTTTGGAGCTGCATTAGCTGTGAAGTAGCATGGCAGATGCTGTGATCATGGCAGGATGGCCAAACGGTGGAATAAGCTCTTCCGTCCATCGTGTGTAGCTAGTCTAAGTCAAGCAGAGGTGGCAGATCTCAGGTTTGTTATTTTTTTTAGGGTTGTGGTTTGTAAAATACACACGTATTGATTACTAGGTTCTTGAGACTCCCCGTCATCACCATCAGAAGTGTGTCATGTTCCACAGTGCCTTGTCTGTTGGATGCAAAGGAGAGAGTGTAGTGATCATGGGTGGTGGAGGAGAGCAGGGATAAAGGGAGAAATATCTCCTCTTTTTCTGCAGAGGAAACCTAGGACATTGCTGAACCCAGCACCCACCTCTCCAACAACCAGTACCCCAGAACCAGACACAAGCACTGTGCCTCAGGACGCTGCTACAATCCCCAGCTCTGCCATGCAGGCTCCCACAGGTAAGGGTCTCCAACCACCTTCTTGGCAAGGGTGCACCATTAGGAGCTGCGTCGCTCACTGAGACACACCGAGACATTCCCGGTCCTTCCTAAACCCGGACACCAGTGAAGGGTACAGTTCCAGAAAGGCTGGGCTAACGGAGAGTGTGTTGGGAGGAAGAAAGGTCAGATCAGCCCGTCGGTATCTCTCGCTCTGTTTTGGAAGGAAAGAAGTCGTAGGAGGATTGTGAGTCCATCTGGTCAGTGCAGAGAGCCCTTTCCCCGAGCTCCCACATCCGTGCGAGTGACTCCACTTCTCGTGCCTGTCATGCCCAAGGCCAGGTCGGTGGGCAGCACCTCTCGCCACTCCCAGACCGTGCCAGGCACAGCCCTGAAGCCACAGCGAGATGCAGAACAACTGCTGAACGCCAGTGGCAGCGACGGGTTCAGCTTCAGCCAGGATACTGAGGCAGATGGGGAGGAGAGGGAGCAGGGCAGGAGGAAGAGCAGAGTATTTGCTCTGCTACGGCTGTGAGATGTAGCTGAAAGTGGCTCTGGGCAGGAAAGTCCAATGCAAAGCTGCTTTCTCTACGTTTGGTCAAGCACTGGATATGGGCTGAGCCCTCTGTTTCCCCAGAACAGAACTGGCTAATAATTTGAGGAACCTAAAGAACCCAGTTTCCCTGAAAAGTGGGGGCTGCGTTCCTTCATCTCCTTTGAAGATCGCAGGCGCCTTACTGGGCTGGCAGGGGAACCAGTTTGCAGCCTGCCTTTGGGAGCCCGGGTGCTGGGGAAAGCGCAGGAGCAGCAGCAGGAGCTCGGAAGGCGAGTGAGTGTGAGGCAGGAAGGCGCCGGAGGCGAGGCCCCTCTGCGGCAGCCGGGCTGCCAGGATGCAGATGGGCGGTCGCGGTGGATTCCCCTTTGTGAGTGCTTTGAGAGTCTTAAAATCTCAGTGTCTCTCAGGTTGGATTTTAGGCATCTGTTTCTTGCTTTCTTGAGTGGGTTAATGGCAAACACGTTTCTCATCTTGGCAGTTTGCATTTACTTGAACAAGAACGGCAGCACTGGGCCCCACCTAGACAAGAAGAAAGTTCAGCAGCTGCCGGACCATTTTGGACCAGCTCGAGCTTCTGTTGTCCTGCAGCAAGCAGTACAGGCCTGCATTGATTGTGCTTATCACCAGAAAACAGTCTTCTCCTTCTTAAAACAAGGCCACGGGGGAGAGGTCATCTCAGGTGAGAACCAGCCTGCAGCACTTTGCCTTCAGAGATGTCGTTGCAAGAATCCGCCCCCTGGAAGATGTCTCTCCTCGAGCTTGGTGCAGTCACGGGCCAGGGGCAGACAGGAGATTTCTGTCTTCTCTCTCTTGCCAAACGTCTGTCAGTGAAGCAGCAGCTCGTGGCTGACTCAAAGCAGAGCGCTGGCGTGGCCTCCAGGCAGAGCTGCTGGAGAAGGCACCGAGTGGCCCCCCGTGTCCCCCTGGGCAGCGTTACCCACCCCCCACAGCGCTGCCCGAGCCCCCAGGAGGAGGCGGGACAGGTGGGATTTGCAGAACTCCTGACGGAAAGACGAGAAATAGCCCAGGTTTTAATTTTGCCTCTTAAGCTCGTGTTTCCCCGGATGCCGGGGGCGCAGCCCCTCCTCGAACACCCCCCGTTCCCTCGAAGGCAGGTCCCGGGGGCCGCGGCCCCGTCGCTGGTGCTGGGTGAGCGGGCTGGTCCCGGCCTGTCCCGGGCAAGGAGCTCGCCGGCTCCGCCAGCGGAAGGCAGTGGCTTTTGTTCGCTCTGGTCTGGAGCAGCGATGCTGAGATACTGCTGTGCAGCCCTGGGCGTAGTCTCCTGCCTTTGCTGGGGGTTTACGTGTTGGGCTCTGTTTGTTTCTGTCTCCAGCTGTGTTTGATCGGGAACAGCACACTCTGAACCTGCCAGCAGTAAACAGTATCACCTACGTCCTCCGCTTCCTGGAGAAGCTCTGCCACAATCTCCGCAGTGACAACCTCTTTGGGAACCAGCCTTTCACTCAGAACAGCCACATGCAGCGCTCACACGAGTACGACCACGACAGGTATCTACCAGGTAGGAGCTGGGGGGGGGCGGCGCTGTAGGGACCCCCGGTGCTCCGTGCCCTAACCCAGGTGTGATCTCTATCTCGGAGGCAGGTTGTGTGGGCAGAGCCCTCTCCGCAGGGTTTGTGGCATCACACCCAGTGTCATGGACAAGCCCACAGGGCTTGTTTTTTGCAGTTGCTGTATTTTCTGCCTGTCGGTCTGATTTCCATCTCTGCCTGTAGGTTTACGCTCATCCGTGCTGTCTTCTTGTCCTCCCTCCTCTCCTTGTCCCCCAGTCCTTCCCACCTCCTGTAATCTGGGTATAGTGACTTCATCCAGTTAGGAATTGAGGGGAAAGACTCTGCGTGAGAAATAGAAGAGTGATAACATGTAGCAGGTAAACTGTAAATAGAAATGGAATTAAACCCTAGCAGAGCGTTTTCCAGCAGCCGGCACGTCCAGCCCTGGCTGAGAGCTTGGCCCGTTCCAGGATGACGTGGCTGAGCAGAGGTGGCTTTGTTTCTCTTGGCATGGCTGGTGCTGCGCCGCGCTGAGGCAACACCCCTGGCAAGATAGTTCATGCCACAATGCAAATCGTCAGGCTGCAAAATTGCTTGTGAGCCCAGGGGGTGGAAAAGAAAGGGACTGACAGTTTCCCCGCAGAGCTGTGCGCTGGAAACAGCCCCTCGGGGGGAAAGCTGCTGTGTCCCCGGCTGGGGGGCTGCTCCTGGGGGAACGGCAGTCGTGGGGAGGATGAGAGCTGCCTGCACCCTTTTTGGGTCGTTGGCAAGAGTCTGGTGCTGATCTCCTCTCCTGTCTCGCTTCCTCCACTACCTTTCTGCCCCTCGAGTCAGCAAGTTTGAGGTCTTTCCAGAGCTAATCCTTTGGATAATTGCGGCTCTGACAAGAAAAGTGAGAGTTTCTGAGTTTCTGATGTAAAAACATAAGCACTTAAGAAGAGCTGTTAAAGGAAAAGTTGCTCGCCATAACGCTTAGGGGCAGCAGCCCGATGTCAGAGTGCTCCACTGCGTCTCACAAAGCCCCTGTGCTCAGGGGAAAGGGGGAGTGACAATGAAAAGAGCATGAGGGTGTTGGAGTGACGGTCCCCTCCTCACCGGGAGCTGGGCTGGGCTGTGGGAAGAGGAGCTGTAGGAAGGGGGTTGGCTGCTGTGGCAGGTACAGAACAGCATGTCTTGTTACTGGGACTAGAGGGTGCCCCTCTAGGGACCCCCCAGTTGGAAGAAATCCCCGTGTTTCAGTGTGGAAGTACCCTGTCATCAGGAGATGGAGCAAAACCAGAATGGGAGAAGGAGGAAGAGGGTCTGGGCATGGTAGCAGGCTTGGATGGAGAGGGTCCTGTAGCTCACACACATGGTTTCTACCCACCATGAGGTGTGAGTGGTGACTGTGCTGATAGCTGGGCTGCCTGGCCACGTGGAAAAGGACAACGAGCCAGAATTCAGGGAAACTCCGGCAGAGTACCCTGTGTGACACGATGCTGAGACCTGCACGTCTGGAACTCTTTGTTAGAGTGTTTGCAGGGATTAAAGAAAGATTAAGCACAGTCCAGAGAAGTGCTCACACCTAGTCCTGTGGTTCATACTGGTGTCTTTGGGATCGTGGGACATCTGATCATCTAACATTTTTCTCAAGCACCTGAAAGAAGATGATAAACATTGTTATCTGGATGTTACAGTGGCTTCTGGTGAGGGCAAAGAAACCGTCCCGGTGATTTTGAGAGGGTAGGGCTGGTCATGGAGGAATGAGGCTGCTGTTGTTCAGCAGCTTAAATCACCCAAAGTGTCAAGGCTGCCGTGGTCTCGCCTTCAGCTCTGTGTGTCCTGCCTTGGTTCTCATCGGTGCAGGTGCTCGTGCTCTGAGTGGGGCTGGTTCTTCCCAAAAACGGTCACTGGTTGCAATGGGAGCTGGTCTCAGGTCCCAGAACAGACTTGCTGTGCGGGAGGCTCGCTGTGGGTGCCGCGGGGAACCCGTGCATGTGCTCGGGGCAGAAGGAGGAGGGGCTGCAGGGCCCTTCCATCATCTGCACCCTGGCATTCTGTCCTGTAAAGTAAGGCATAATCATGGAACTTAGGGAAAAAGATCAAGTTGTACACTAGGAAACAGCAGATTTGCAAGAAGTTGATGGCTGTTAATAGGAACAGGGATGGGCTGTGAAATGTTGTCAACAGGCAGATCTGATCTGGAGCCATCTGAGGACACGGGCCTGGAGGGACCATCGGGACCCCCGAGCCTTGGGTCCTTTTCCTACGGGCGCCACAGCACACGGTGGTGCTTTTGGTAACTCTGCAGCTGGAGGTTTTGCTCTTCCCCTGGAGGCTGCTCCAGGGTTTTTTGCTGAATGTTTTTAGGAACTATGTTGTAGTTTCTAGCCCAGATTTATTCTTGGGCAACTTGGCATCTGCGTGTCCTTGTCTTTACGTTGCCTTTTAGCTTAACTTAGTTCTCCTTCGTCTGGAAGTAGTTAGAGAGCAGTCGTGTCCTTCAGGGGAGCTCGCCTTTTGGCTGCTGTGGTGAGAAGGGCTCTCTGCTCTCCTCATCCAGGGTCAGTTTGAGGTGACCAGGGTGCCACCCAGCACTCTGGGGCAGAGCTCACGGGGACCTGGTGCCACAGCCCTGGCACCACCATGTACACAAGAAATGCCTCTGGAAGCCCTTTTTGTTGCTGTGTCTTTGTAGCAGGTGATGATCAACCCGTCCTGGTCACATGCCCCGTTATTCTCTTCTGTTATTGTCAGCTGCACATTCCCAGCTCATGGGACGAGGCTTCAAGTGCAAATCTGCGTTTTGCTGCCGGATTTACCTCCCTTCTGGTACTCCATTCGATATGTATTTTTTCTACTTTATCTGGACTGACCCAGGAAGACTTCAACAGACTTTATCAGTGAATCTGTGCAAAGTTATTAATAAATATATTAAATGACACTGGGCTTGAGAATGTTCCTCAAGAAAATGAGTTAGCAACTGCTCTCCAGCCTCCGCAGTGCTCTGCTGACTGCTTTTCCCCTCAAATCAGGTGTTTGTGCCTGTAACAAAGCTTCTGGTAATCCTCGTGCTCTCCATGTGCCTTCCAGAATTCCAGGTAGATGAGACTAGATGAGAGTGGATGCTCTTCCTTTCTCTGGCAGCTGGGTTGTTTCCCGTGGTAGGGAAGGCGTTGGGTTAGTCCCCTCCAATGGACACGTCTGGCGGTGCCCTGTGTAACTGCCGTGTTTCACTGACCCTCTGCTCTGGAACCTCCTACAAGCCTTGTGGTGCTGCTGAGCTCAGACATGAGCATTTCATCGCCAAAATAATTTTTGCCTTTCTTTTTTAAATGTTAGCAGCGTCTTCCCAGTCACTCCGAGCAGCACGTTGCTGAGGTCTGTTAGGATTTGCTGCAGCAGACCCGGGGTTCCACGTGTGCCTTCTCTCCTAAGTTAGGTTTTGGCTTCCTCTGCACCCTCACCTTCCCACTCGAGTACGGTCAGTTGTTTGACTTCCACTTCTTAGTCAATGGTGAAAATCATTCCTGTCCTGTGTCTGTTATTCCTTGCCCCTGTGCAAGGCAGTGAAGGGTGGGATTTGACTGAAGGCAGGTGGGTGTCACAGAGGCTTCGCCACCTGAGCTCTGCGTGGGAGCTGGCACCGGTGCCATCACTGGGAGTTACAGCACCTGGAGTGGGGGCCTTGGCCTTGGCTTTGACTTTGACCTGAGATGAGATGAGCAGACTCTCTGTGACTGTAACGGCACCCATCATCCTGCCTTGGGACGACCACAGCACAAACAGATGTGCTCCTTTTCCTCCCCACCAACCTCCCAGGTTAGGAGAGGTGAAATTGTTTGTCCCACCAAAGCTTTCCCGTCAGCTGAAGGCAAGGACAACCTTTTTTCTTTTTTCTCATTCATTACCTCTCTGTGCGGCATCCTCTCGCTCCGTCCCCATGCCCTTGTTACAGCTGAAAGCACGGGCACATCTGTTCCTTTGCACCATCTCAAAGGGCAGAATGAGTTTAAATAGTTCACTTTGTCCCTGTAGCCACCCTCTTGTAAGGTGGAGGGCTCCAGGCTGAGCAGGTCCTTCTCAGCTCTAGTAAACGATCTGCTTGTTCTCGGCACCCTCCTCAAAGTGAACATTTCTCCGTTTATTAGATTTGGGGCCCTTTCCTTCCAGATCATTTCCTTGCTGATGATACACATTCATGGCGTTTATGGCATCACTGGAACTGAAGGTACTCTCTTTTCTTCCTGATGTTCCAATTCGTGACAGCTGGGTGCAGCTCTGTGCATTACTCCATTCCTTTATTTTCTTAAAATTTGTCCTTTAAAATCAGAGACCCCAGCTACAGACCTACTTGTGGTTTATCCTTCCATTAATTTACACTGACCTGTTTCCGGTCGCCTGGGCTGTCTTCTACAACCTGACCATCTGTGTTCGCATTGCTTCTAAAACCAACCCAAAACCAAATCTGGTAAAAGCTTCTGTTGTGGTTCTGTGGCTGTTTGGTGAAGAAGGTCATGCAGTTTTACATTTAGAGATATCCAGAGACATTTCTAAGAGCCTTTGTTTCCCATATCTGTCTGGGCGATGAATGTTTCTCACAGGACCTTGTCCTGCAGGCAGTATTTGTCTTCCTAATGATGTTACAGTGATTTCTGATGGTGCTCCTATGGAGTCCCAGGGCCTCAGTGTAAGCAGCTCATCTGTGATTTCCCCAAAGGACGGTGGTAGATATTTTTCTCTACCTTTGTATTTCTCTTTAGTCAACTAAATTGTGACTGACTGATGCTTCCCACCCACCCGTACCTCCGTTCCTCTGTTTGGCGTGATGCATCTCCCCCGGTGTCTGCTCCCGGTCCCTCCCTGCCATATCTCTGTCCCCTCCAGCTCCCACCCCAGCAGTGCTGGGGCTGCTCCCTGTGTCCTTTCCCAGCCTCTGTCCACCAGCATTTCACCCTCTCCCCACGCTCCCCGAACACTGCAGGCTCACACATGTGACCCACTCTCGGGGCAGCTGGAGGAGCCACCCAGGAGCACTGATGGCCCACAGGGGCTGGTGGGTCACCTCTTCATTGCTTCTCATTGACCATGCCTTGTCCAGGCAGGACATGGTCCTCACCCACCGTATCCCTTACCCGGTTGCTGTTCCCATCCCCGTCAGCGCTTCCATTCCCTGTGTTCCTCCACACACCCACACCCTGTGTGCAGCTTCAGCCGGCGCGAGGAGACCTCTCCAGCCCAATGTCCCCTCTGACACCTGCAGCACGGAGAGCCCCGGCCCAGGGAGGGGTTGGGAGAAGAGCAGTGACAGCCGGGGCACCTGCGGGGTCCATTTGGGGAAAGACTGAAAATGTGAGGATGATGTAATCAAGCCCCGTGTGTGGCAAAATCGTCCGAGGGCTGTTTGCAAATTGCCCAAGGGTTACGTGTGTCTGCCAGGGGAAGGGTGGGGAGGAGCAGGAATCGTGCAGGATGAGCCAAGGGACAGAATAAGGAGAAACGGAATTAAATCAGAGCAGTGATATTGGGGGCGAAATATGGCAAAATGTGGCTAAGATTCTATGTGTTCCCTTTCTTGCCACCCTTTTTTCTCTGATAAAACTTGCAAAGCAAACTATAAAATGTGAAGTGCTGGTGGATGTGCTGGGCGGCAGCTCTAACAGGCTGTTCCCAGGGGATGCACCCGGGTCTCAAGGGACTCTGGCAAGACTGAATTTCCCAGAAAGTCTCCGCTCCTAAAGAGGGCTTGTTCTCTTTTCCTAGACAGAAGCAGTTCGTTAGACGGCACTCTGCAGGGACCAGGCCGGGGTACAAAGCGCTATTCCCAAGATTCCCCTCCATACAGTGCTCCTCTCTCCCCCAAGTTACCAAAGAATGACCGTCACCCTTTGGAAGGTGAGCACAGCGTCTCTTCCCAAAGCTGGCTGTCGGTAGTGACTGGTGATGCCTCCAGCAGGATGAGATCTGCCGAGCTGAGCCGGGGGTTTGGGAAGTTCTGCTTTGCTTTGTCTCTGTGGGGGTTGGTGCTTGGCGTTCCAGAGACGTGGAGAAACCCCTCTGTGCTGAGGCAGGTTCCCCAAGCAGTTGTGTAAGGCACGTGGAACGCAGGGAGAATTCCTCCTAACCCTGATAGTCATCATCTAATACCACATAATCTGGGATTTAATTGCTATGCATGGTATTAATGGTCATAAAACTGCCCAGATGCTGCAGTCAGTCTTCCCCAGAGTGTTTCCATGGCGGTTTGCTGCAGTGGATGGTCCAGATGCTGGTGCCCAGCTGTACAACCTGCTGCCCTTTCCCAGGGTCCCATCTGGATCTCGCAGTCCTCCCCAAATAGCAGAGAGGGTCTCACTGGTATGTGCTCCACCAGATCACATCCCGTCCCGTCGGGTACTGCTGCTGCAGGTCTGCTGTGCCACCTCCTCAGGGCAACTGCAGAAATGTCCTCTTTGGTATGTGGACCATAGGTGGCCCTTCTCTGTGCAGGTGGGAGATTTTCAGGGATCCCGGTAGCTGGAGGAGTACCTGAGCCTGAGTCCTCAATAAATACACTTCCACCTTCCCTTTTGTTTTCAACTGCAAACTCTCCATCGGGCAGCCTGGTGATCCAGCTTCACTGGAGGCATTTTAATTAATTGATGGTGAAATCTGACAAGGTGTTTGTCTCAATTCTTTGTAATACATCCCTGAAAAATTACTGGTGCCTCTTGGCTGGGCTCACTGTTGAGTGTCTCTGTGCTCTGTCACGGTCCCTTTGGAATCACCACTTCCCTGGTTCTTGCCGGGTTTCCTGGGCTTGGGCTGTTGAGCCCAGGGGTGAGGGTGCACAGGTTCCCACGTGCCAGGGGGTGGTTTCAGTCCATCCATCGCTGACCCCGTGTCTGACCTCAGCTGATCTGAACTTGCACCCTGTGATGGACAGTTTTTGAGGCCTCAGTGTCTCCATTGCTTCAATTGTCAGTTTGTCACATACTTGAAGAAGAAGGTGACGTGTGGGACTGTCTCATCTATTGCAGCATATTGACAAGTCAAAAACTGTTCCCTGAGGCCCAGTCTTTTTTTCACCTCTAATTACATGTCCTTGCTTGTCTCCTTGATGTTCTCTTGCTTCTTGGCTCCTCCTCTGCCAGCAGCACCAGGCAGCATTTGGGCTGTTCTTCAAGCGCGGTGGTGGGCTCTGAAGATTGAGGTGCCTTGGTTTGGTGGCGAGTGTCAGACACTCTGTATGGTCAGTGGAGAGAGGAAGCTTGTGTGATGGGTGATTCCAAGGAGAAACCTGTGTTAGGTTGTCTACAAGACCAATTCTTAGTCTACTTCAAAGTCTGTTCAATTGTCTCTTGGCCTTTGGATGGGACGGGACATCTGGCTGCCCAGAGAACCCCAGCGTTTTCTGCAGAGGCAGAGACAAGTGGGGAGAAACCTTCAGGTGAGGGGCTGGTCCTGCTGCTGCGGCAGCTTCCTACAGGCAGCTCGGGCTTCTTCTGTTCTAGTTCCATCAGGGGTCCAGGGTAGGGAGAAATGAGGTGCAGTTCCAAACTCCATCTAGAAATTAATTTTTATCCTTCAGCCAAAAGTCTGTCCATCCACCTCCACCATGAAAGTTTAGTACAAGCAGGAGTATTTCCCTTTCAGGGGGTGTATTTTAAGAATATGAGCCTGAAATACTCAGATATTGAGTATTTCTGGAGGAAGCAGGTACATCTTCTCATGGAGATGAACTCCCCCTCAGAGCGTCTTCTGATCTCAGCAGTGTGGGAGACACCAGCACCGGAGCAGTTTCCAGTTTGCCGAGTTGGAGGCAGTGAGTAGCAGTGGGAAGTCTTTATTCACCGTGCCTTTGGCAAGAAGTCAGAAAGATGAAGCGGGAATCTTGTTTCTTACATTGTTTTCCCTCTTGCATCCAGAGGCATTTATGTAGCTTTTTGCTAAAAAGCTGCAGTTCCAGCACAGTGGGGACCTGCTTTTCAAAGCCTGTCGTTTGTTGGAAGCGGTGGGTGTTCAGTAGTTGTGCAAATCAGATTTATGCTTGTGGCCAAACTCCCATGTTTTACCAGTTAAACAACCCTCTTGAATCTACAGCACTATTTGTTTAATTAAACTTCAATTATCTGCTCCCTGCCTCTCTGCCACTAATCATGGTCTGTTTTCCTGCAACACTCCAAATGAAGCCTTGTTTAAAACAAGCAGTTTGTGTGAGAAAACCCACCTCCTCCTCACTCCAAGGCGAGGTACCGAGGGTGAGCAGGTTCCGAACGGTGTCCGTGCCTGAGGGCAGCCTCTGCCCCACACCTCCTCTCTGGGGGCTGGCGATCCTTCCCTCCTGGCCACCTTTTCCTCTCCCGTTTCTGGAGGTGTCATTCATTTCACAGAATCACAGAAACTTCATGTTTGGAAGGGACCTTTGAGAACATTGAGTCCAACCACAAAAAAAAAAAAACCAAACCAAAACCAAGCCACCACCCCCACCTACAGACAGACACAACCCAACAATCTCGGGCACTAGAGCATGCCCTGAAGTGCCACGTCCACACATTTCTTAAATACCTCCAGGGATAGTGACTCCACCACCTCCCTGGGCAGGCTGTTCCAGTGCCTGACCACCCTCTCAGGAAAGTCATTCTTCCCGATATCTCATCTCAACCTCCCCTGCCCCAACTTCAGACCATTTCCTCTGCTCCTGTCATCATTCCCTTGGGAGAAGAGGCCAACCCCCACCTCTCTCCACCCTCCTTTCAGGGAGCTGTAGAGGGCAATGAGGTCTCCCCTCAGTCTCCTCCAAACTAAACATGCCAGTTCCCTCAGCCTCTCCTCGCATGACTTGTTCTCTATTATTTGAGCAGTTCTCTGCATGTTTGTACTTTTAAGAAAGTCCTAAATCTCTTACATTGACCCCACCAAGAAGCCTCCAGTTCTGCTGCAGTATTTGCAGCGTGACCAGGCACTGCCCGGTCTGGAGACAGACAAACCCGAGGGGCAACACGCAGCCTCAGTTCCCCCTCTTGAGCAGAACCGAATCGTGCTCCCACTGTGCGGCCTCTTCCTCTTCTTCAGATCATAGAATCATAGAAGGGTTAGAGTTGGAAGGGACCTTAAAGACCATCTAGTTCCACCCCCCTGCTGTGGGCAGGGACCCCTCCAGTGGAGCAGGTTGCTCAAAGCCCCATCCAGCCTGTGCGGTCACAACACGTGTGAGAACCAGAGCACATATTTGACAGATGCATCACAGTGCACTCACGTCGAAAATATCAAAAGAACAACAGTTACTGTTGAGTTAAATATTTTCTGAGGATAAGATTTGGATCCTCAGCATTGCTCCCATGTGAACCCGTGCTCCTGCTCTCCTGTCCCCCCCAAGCTGTGGTCGTCTCTCACTGAGCCCAGGAATCCTTTCTGCTGACACAGCTCCCTGGTGTGGGCTTTGGGCTCCTCATGAGCCTTTGGACACAGACATTGGCCTGACCCGGCCCGTCTGGGGCGAGTGGCCTGGGCCTTCCTGGCACATTGAGGCTGTGCCCCACCTCGCAGAGGGCACTGGGTCCTTGGGGGATGGAGATGTGCAGCACAGCCCCCTGTGTGCCCACGGCCACTCTCCTGTCACAGCTCGCCCACACCTGACCCCCCAACCCCTCTCCTGCCCCTGCACTTCCCCCAGGTCAGACATCACCCTTTGCCCAGGGGCTTAATGGGAAGAGGTTTGGGTTTTCAGCAGAACTGCCCTGTTGGAGAGGAAACCAAGTGTAGTTGCTCTGAAGAAGGTCCCCTAAAGTGCCTCTGGTGTAAGTCACGTCCACTGTGGGCCTGGGCAGGCCCAGTCTCTGTCCATCCAGCCACTGCAGTGCTGGGTTGGCACCCAGTCTTGTGGCGTGGAGGAGGTATCCAGAGTTACTCAGAGAGAGTCAGGAGCCAAAAAGCCTCCTCTTGTGCACAGAGAGCAGGTGAAAATGCATCTGCTCGCGGTGGAAGCTGGTGACACATGGGCCAGCACAGGGCACCAGGCAATAACAGCCTTTGCAGCAACACAATTTTTACCTGAGATTTAAGGATGTGCTGCTGGTTTCTGAGAGCATCCCTGGGGCCTAAAAGCCAAAAAAAGGCTGAAATGCCTCAAATGCAGAGTAACAAAACCCATGAGATGCAGGTGATAACCTCACATCTGCTTCCCTGAATTGCCAGACATCTAGAGCAGAAGAGTTTCTCCCATTTTTAGCCTTATGAGATGAAGCTGGGGAAGGTGTGGGCTGGCTGCCTTCAGCTGAACTCACCCCTGAGACCCCTGCTCAAACACAGCAGAAGTGCTGAAACCAGAGGTTCCCAGTGGACAGAACAGTCCTGTTTATAGAAAACAGATACAACAACATGCTTCATAAAATCATAGAATGGTCTGGCTTGGAAAGGACCTTAAAGATCATCTAGTTCCAACCCCCCTGCCCTGGGCAGGGACACCTCCCACCAGACCAGGTTGCTCCAAGCCACATCCAACCTGGCCTTGAACCCCTTCAGGAATGGGGCAGCCACAGCTTCTCTGGGCAACCTGGGCCAGGGTCTCACCACCCTCACAGCAAAGAATTTCTGGTATCTAATCTAAATCTCCCCTCTGTCAATTTAAAACCATTGCTCCTTGTCCTATTGCTCCACTCTCTGATCAGGAGTCCCTCCCCATGTCTCCTGTAGCTCCTTCAGGTACTGGAAGGTCTCCCCGGAGCCTTCTCTTCTCCAGGCTGAACAACCCCAGCTCTCTCAGCCTGTCCTCACAGCAGAGGTGCTCCAGCCCTCTGAGCCTTTTTGTGGCCCTCCACTGGACCCGTTCCAACAGGTCCATGTCCTTCCTGTGCTGAGGAATCCAGAGCTGGACACAGTGCTCCAGGTTTCCGGCCACAGCCGCTTATGGCATTTGATCACCTGTAGAAATGTCACAGCAGCCTTAGAATGGCCATGAGGTACCCATAAGGTGCCCTGTTTTTCAGGCATCCAGCCTTTCTGAGGTTCCTCTCCTTTGGCTTCCATGAGAGGTTGCCCCGTTTGATGGGGCGCAACCTCTGCAACACTCAGGTACTGCTTCAGGCTCTGGCATGCAGCATCTCCCTTCCCTGGAGCATGGCAGCATCCACTTAGCTGGGAAGTTTGGGAAGATCTCAACAGCTTTCGGGTCTCCTGGGCTGCAGTCTCGACTCCCCGCTCTCCCCCCACCATCCCTCGCTGTGCTGGCTCCTCACCTACGGCTCTGGTGGCCCAGGAAGGCCCAGGGAAGAAGCCCAGGGCCTGGCTGGGGCAGTCATTCAGACTTCTTCATTCTTGTCACCTACCATCGCATTTGAGTGGCAGCAGCTCAGGATTATGAGCTGATCTCAGGGTCTCTGTGGCCGGCAGAGGATCTCCAGCCCCAGCCAGGTGTGGTGGCCCAGCCTGGAGTACAAGGGCAATTCTTCTCCCTTGTAGGAGCTGCTTCCTGCTGTGGCCATAGGAACTTATCAGGTATTTCATGACAAAGAACACAGGTTTTTGAGGATAACTCAGGAGGCATCAGGTCCACCTGGGCTGAGACACAGTAAAATCTACGAAGACGTGGCCCAGGGTGAAGCTCAGTAACAGCCAAGGGAGATCTGCTGGCTCAGGCAGTGCAATGCATCACCCCAGGTAGTGTCCTCAGCCCCTCCATCCCAGTGCTGCCATCACAGCTGAACAGTGAATGTTTCAGGAAGAGAAGGTGAGGAGACCAGCCTGTGGGGAGCCCTGTTTGTCCCACGGATGCCCCAGCAGAGGGTCACCAGCTGGCTCAGGCAGCGGCACAGGGCCCCGTGGGAGGGCAGGAGGGGTGAGTGGCTGGTCCCCAGCACCCTGATTTGGGGTTGGGGGGCTCAGCACGGGGTGAGAGCATTGTTGGGCCATGACCGTGTGGCTGAGCTGCTCAGGAGAGCCTCCTGCTCCTCCTGCCCTGCCTGGGGGCTGCTGTGGGGCCACAGCAGGAGCCCCACTGAATATCCCCCCAGTCCCAACCCCCTGCTCCACACCGGGCACGCTAATGCTGGTAACATACGGCGACTCTCAGGGAGCCTTCTCTCCCGGCTCAGGGCTGGTGTGTGTCCCGTGTCCTTTGGCACCCAGGACAGGCACCCCCCTCCACTGCCACCACCGCGGTGTCCCACTGCCACTGACGGGCCTCTGGAGGCCGTGAGGACCCGGGACCAAAGCTGGTGGTGGCATTAACAGGGCAGGTGTTGCTCCAGTCCAGGTGCAACCCCTGTCAGTGCTGACTGGTTGGACTGGGCGGGCAGGCCCCTGGCTGCAGCGTGTCTGCAGCACCTGGGTTCAGGTCTGTGCTTTTCAGGAGGCCACTGTTATGGTGGCTCCATCCTGCTCCGGCGCTGCCCTCCTGCCTCGGGGCTGTGCGGGGTGCGGGTGCACTGACTGCAGCTTGGTGCGTTCCAGGTGAAACCTTTGTCCTGGGAGATGGGCTCCCAGGGCCCCTGGAGCCTCGCCTGGACCCCATGGACTCTGCCTTGAACTCTGTCAATTCATCCAGCCACGGCAGGAGCTCCAGAGACTGTCGCCTGCCGGGATACAGGCACCTGCACCAGCCCTCGAGCCTCAGCCCGGGCAGCACCTCTGCCCTGCGCAGGCTCGGCTCCGGGGGTAAGAGAGCGAGGAGCCGCCCCCCGGCCGTGCCTCGGGCAGCCAAGGGCCTTTCTGACCCCGGTCACACCTTTCCAGTTCCAGCAGGTCCCCAGAGCCTGGCTCCCGCCCCGGGAGTGCGTTCGGGTTCACGGCGGCGCTGGGGAGGGGGCGGGGGGGAGTGGGGAGAGGTGACACTCGCAGGGACACTCGTGCGGCGTGTGACGAGGGGAGACCCGGAGGTCGGTGGGTGGAAAGGAAGGAAGGAGGAGGCAGGACCTGAATTTGCGAGCGTGGGGCTGTCAGAGCGATAAACGGGCGCGTGGGGCAGGTCGGGAACGGCCGGGGGGTGGGGAACAGCCCCCAGCGTCCGGGGGGGACCCGCAAACGGGGGGACACGCGAGTGGCTCCGGTCTGTGTGGAGGAACAGGAGCAGGAGAGCTGCTCACCCCGGTCAATCAGCACATCTCACATCCAGATGGTCACAAAGCAAGTTGTAATTCTGGGTGCACGACATCGATAAAAGCCTCTAAAAAGCTCAGGCTGCCAATGCCTTGGTCCGTCTGTCCCCGTCCCCCCCGTCCCTGTGTGTGGGCAGAGCTGGCACAGGGGCTGTGGCGATGCTGCGCGCTGGGAGCAGGACTTGTGTTGGCTCGGGAGGAGGGTCAGGGCGACACAACGTCGTGTACGGGCTCAGTCTGTCAGAAAACACAGCTAAAGGTGGGGTCCAGAGTGGGGGGAGTGAGGGGAGAAATGGGGCGTGGGGAGGAGAGGTGGGGACAGAGGACTGTTTTCTGCAAAGGTGGGCAGGGACCAGCAGGAATGGGGGCACCAGGCTCAGCCAAAGGGGAGATGGGGGTTTGGTCTGAGGGAAAGGGCTCGGTCTAGATGTCTGCCCCAAAACGTGAGGCCTGAGGAAAGAGAATGAGGCTTTGGTGCTAGAGCTGAGCCGTGGGAATCTCGGGCACAACTGGGATGTGCCCTTGGTGTTGTCTCTTCCATTGTTTTGGGAGAGGAGACGGAGCGGTGGCCTGAGAGGGAATGGGAGCTGGAGCGATGCTGTGGGGACACGAGGGGTAACGGCTGCTCTCTCGCCATGTCCCCAGGCTCAGACAGATACCTTGGATCTCGAGACAGCTCTCGGCTCAGCAGCCGTGACCCCTCGTCCTGGACGGTGGAGGAGGTGATGCAGTTCATACGAGAAGCAGACCCACAGCTGGGATCCCACGCTGACCTCTTTCGAAAACATGTAAGTGTGTCTGTGTCACAGAGTCACAGAACTGGAGGGAGTGGGAGGGACCCCTGGAGACCACCCAGTCCAACCCCCTGCCAGAGCAGGGTCACCCAGAGCAGGTCCCACAGGATCGTGTCCAGATGGGGTTTGAATGTCTCCAGAGAAGGAGACTCCACCACCTTCCTGGGCAGCCTCTTCCAGGGCTCTGCCACCCTCACAGGAAAGAAGTTTTTCCTCACGTTCAGATGGAATTTCCCATGTTCCAGTTTGTGCCCATTGCCCCTTGTCCTGTCCCCGGGCACCACTGAGAACAGTCTGGCCCCATCCTCTTCCCACCCACCCTTTAGCTATTGCTCAGCATCAATGAGATCCCCTCTCAGTCTGCTCTTCTCCAGCTGAACAGCCCCCGGTCCCTCAGCCTTTCTTCAGCAGAGAGATGCTCCAGCCCCTCATCATCTTCGTAGCCTCCCCTGTACCCTCTCCAGCAGTTCCCTGTCCTTCTTGAACTGGGAAGAACTGGTCCCAGTGCTCTGGATGTGGCCTTCCCAGGGCAGAGCAGAGGGGGAGGATGACCTCCCTCCACCTGCTGGCCATGCTCTTCTTAATGCCCCCCAGGAGACCGTTGGCCTTGGCAGGAAGACCACATTGCTGGTTCATGGATGTGTGTGTATGGCTGTATATGTATGTATTTTATATGGGAGGGGGCACATCATCACACAAGGAGAACGCAGGAGAGCCAGAAGACAGGCAGCACTTCGTACCAGCGGGAGTTTTGTGCTGACACACATCCCCATAAATCCTGTCTCTGCTGGGTTCCAGCCTGGGACCTTCTTAGAAACTGTCACGGGGAAGACATCGCAGCCCAGCTGAAGCTGAGGCAGATGTAGAACTCAGGTCTGTGCTGGGTTTGAACACCAGTGCTGAAAACACAAAACCTTGTTCATCCTGGAGTCTTAATATTCACCTTGTATCAAATTTCTCCTGGCAAGAGACGTGTTCCAAGTGGGATTCACCAAGTTCACTGCTGCTCAGCTCCCATTTCCTACAGAAAGGGGTCTCCCAAGGCTCTGCTGCTCACGCTTGTCTTTTAAGTGTAAAACAGCTGCAGATGTGCCACTTCATGGAGTTTGTGCAATTAAAGCTACACAAATTTGGCAGTTCCATGTCCCAATTCCTGCCAGAGTTCATCATCCCTCTGTCTTCTGACCAAGTCCCCGTTACACCTGGGGTTGCTTCTGGGGTCAGGAGAGCAGAGGAGAAAACACCCATCTTCCCCAGGCAGGAGAGTGGATGGGATTCATCTTGCTCTGTGCTGGGCTGAGACAATACTCTTTTTTTTTTAATTAGTTCTATTTTAGAACCACCAGTAATTGAAAAATGTTCTGTTTTAATACGCAAGAGCATGCTCAGCTCCACTAAGGGCTGGAAGTCCCCTGTATGGACAATCCCAAGGAAGTTCTGGAGATTGACTGAGTGAGACCTCCCTGCAGTCAGGGCAATCCCAGGCACATCTTGGACAGGATTTTCTGTTGTTAGAGGTTGTGATTTTTATTGTTCATTTATAAGTCTATTAACTTTTTCTTCATGAAGACCCATCCACTGCAAAGCACTGGGCCAGCCAGGACCAGGTCGGGGAAGGAGCGCAAAGGGGCTGGAAAACTTCCACACACAGATGCCAAGGGCAGAGCTCTTCTCTGGTTATTTCGAGCTTCATGCTCCCTCCCCTCCTGAGCCGCAGCGGGGTCACGTCTGGCTCAGCTGGGAGGCACCCAATACTTCTGAAAGCTGGGGTGCTGAAACCTCCCTGCTGGAGATGAGCTGCTCCACTGGCACTGGGAGCTGCTGGGACTTCACTTAGAAACTCCAGAAATTTGCTTTGCCTGCAGTGACAGGCTCTTTGGGTTTACAGGGTTTGGTCCCTTCCCTCCTTCCACAGCCTTGACTCGGGGCTCGTGCTGCAGCTGCTCTGGGGTCAGTGCATCCTCTCCCGGGGCCTTTCCCCTGCAGGGGGGTGACAGTGCCAGCAGAGAGGGACTTCTCCCTGCACCACCACTGCCTCAGTCCTTATTCTGACTCCACTCTTCTTTCCTCCCTGCCTCCCCTTGGGATTTACTGACCAGCTGGACATGGCTCCTCGGTGTTAATCACTCAGCAGATTTCCCACCACCACATGGGGGCCCAGGGCTGACCCCCCCTGCTCCAGGCAGGGCGGGATGCAGGGATACCTGCACTGGGACGCAGCAGTTACCATGGAATCACTGAATGGTTTGGGCTGGAAGGGACCTTAAAGCCCATTCAGTTCCCACCCCCTGCCCTGGGCAGGGACACCTCCCACCACACCAGGTTGCTCCAAGCCCCTCCAACCTGCCCTTGAACCCCTCCAGGGATGGGGCAGCCACAGCTTCTCGGGGCAACCTGGGCCAGGCTCTCACCACCCTCACAGCAAAGAAGTTCTTCTTGAGTTCTCACCTAAATCTCCCCTCTTCCAGTTTAAAACGTTTTCCCCTCCTCCTCCTATTGCTCCCCTCCCTGATCCAGAGTCCCTCCCCAGCTTTCCTGGAGCCCCTTGAGGGACTGGAAGGGGCTCCAAGGTCTCCCCAGAGCCTTCTCTTCTCCAGGCTGAACCCCCCCAACTCTCTCAGCCTGTCCCCACAGACAGGGGCTCCAGCCCTCCCAGCATCAACTTGGCCTCCTCTGGCCCTGCTCCCACAGGGAGCTTCTGCTGTTGGTGGCCCCAGAGCTGGAGGCAGCACTGGGGGGTGTCTCCCCAGAGCGGAGCAGAGGGGCAGCTTCCCCCTCGTCCTGCTGGCCATGGGGCTGGGGATGCAGCCTGGGCTGTGGGTGGTTTCTGGGCTCCAGCGCACGTTGCCTGCGGTGTGTGGAGCTTCTCACCCCCCAACACCCCCAAGTCCTTCTCAGGGCTGCTCTCCAGCCATTCCTTGCCCAGGCTGGATTTGTGCTTGGGATTGCCCTGACCCAGGTGCAGGACCCTGCACCTAAGGACCTCACATCCTACCCAGCTCCGCTGTTGAGGGACGCTCTCACACCCGGCTGTGCTGCTTCAGCCGCTGTGGCTTTGGGCAGGGCCAGGCTCTGGGGGCAGAGCTGGGGTTACAGGTGCAGTCACAGGTGCTGGTGTTTCCCCTCCCTGCAGGAGATCGACGGGAAAGCCCTGCTTTTGCTGCGGAGTGACATGATGATGAAGTACATGGGGCTGAAGCTGGGGCCGGCCCTGAAGCTCACTTACCACATTGACAAGCTAAAGCAAGGCAAGTTCTGAGAGGACGCTCCGCTCCTGGCCACCCGAACCCGCGCTCGCCTGCCGACAGGTACGCATGCACACCCCACCTACGCCGCAGACGGACACCTCGCCAACACCCCGGCCCCAACGCAGGGCTCTGACCCCTGCGCCCACGGACAGACCCCGGCCAGCGCTTGGGAGGAGGCTGCGCGCGCTTGGCCCCGGGGCTTCGCAGCGACCTCGAGTAGCGGGCGTCCTGCTGGAAGCGGAGGTTCTCTCCCCGCTGCCCGGCCCGCGCTGCTCCGCAGGCTCCCGGTCCTGCTTCCCCAGGATGACACAGGTCTCTGGGCGCTTCCGCGGCTCCTCTCCCTTGGCTCAGCGCTGGGGCAGCGCTCGACTCCCGTCCCCTCGCAGGGGGGTTGTTGACTGGAGGGGACTGGATGCTTTGCGCTTCACCAGCGCCCGTCTGCGAGGGGGACGGTGCCCCCGGCCCGCGCTCGGCCCCCGTAGCACCGCTCCGAGCTCAGCACCGCGCCTGCCCTGTCCCTGTCTTCCACACCGGGGGGGCCCGTCCCAGGGCCACTCACCTCCAGGCTCTGCCGGCCCTTAGGCTCCCGGCCGCCCTCCGCCTGGGGATGCCAGAGCCCTCCCTATTTATTTCTGGCCGGGGAGGCTGCGTGGTGGCACGAGGCGCTGCCCAGGAGCGTGGGTCGAGCTGCCGGGGAGCCGAGGAGCGTTCCCGTGGCGGGACAGGCCTGGGTGGGCACCGGAGGCTGCTGGATGCTGCAGGACTCGACTGATCCTTTTTTTTTTTTGGATTTTTTTTTTTTTATTTTTTTTTTATAAGGAGTTGTCTGTTGAAAATGATGAAATGATTTTTCTACCTGTTGTTGAACTCGCAACTCTTGGAGATTTTTAGCCAGAGGTGCAAAGGTTCGTCTTCCCGGGGGCCCTCCCGTCCCACCGGGGGTCGGTCGGTCCCGGCGCCGCGTCTGCGGGAGGGCGGCGGGTCCGGGAGCCAGAGGATCCCGCTGCGGTGACCTGTCCCTGCACCGCTCTTCCTGCCAGGGCCCTGCCCTGCCCAGGGGGCACCTGTTTGTTTCAGACAGTCTAATGTATTTATTTGTGATGGCACTTGAGCGGTAACCCCCTGTCCCAGACACGTTACTGCAGCTGCAAGAGGAGCGGAGCCCGCCCGGCTGCGTCCCCTGGGCAGGGGCTGTGGGGACAGGGGCTGCCCGTCCCCTGGGGCATCGCCTGCCCCAGGGAGGGGGTGACGTGGGGCGGCGGAGGCGAGGGCTGCCCCACACACGCACCCACAGCTCCCGCTCCCTCTCTGCAATGACCAAAGGGGCTGGGACGGGGGTCTCCGCTGCAAGCACTTCCCCCTCCCCTCACCCTCTGCGCATCCGGAGCAGCGTCCCCGTGTCCCCGCGTCCCCGCCGGCGGCAGGAAGGGCCCCCCCCCCGGGGAAGGACCCTCCAGTCTCTTGCACTGGGTCAGGCTTACCCCTAAGGGGAAAAGTTGCAAAAAAAAAAAGAAATACCCCAAACCCCAAAGTAATAAAACGGCTTTTTGTCAGTGCTGCAGCCCCTGCTGCAGCCTGTGCTCAGGGGGAGGGGGGCTCCAGCCCCTCGCAGAGCCCCGTCACCCGCAGCATCGGCCCCGGGACCCCTCCGTTCTCACCCGACGCTGATCCCGCTGCAGACAGGTCCCCGTGCGGGGTCAGCCAGTGCTTTCCTCTGCACTTATTTTACATTGATTTGTTTATAAATAAAAGGATAACTGAGTTCCTCCCCGCCGGCTGTGTGCGCGCTGATGGGAG